ACTCCCACGTAGTCGACCGCGGTTCAAGTCCCGGACCTGGTGGCTTAAACTCACACCGGGCGCGTGTGCGTGCGTGCCCAAGGTCCCAAGAGGAGAATGGAGGAGAAGGGATTGCGGCGTGGCCCTTCTCCCAGGGGGTGATTTCTTACTATCTCTCTGTCTGTCTGGCAAGCCCAAGCACCCTATAGCAAAAAAAAAAAAAAAAAAAGAAAACAGAAAAATCTCTCCAAAAAAAGAAAACGTTCTGTGAAATCTACTTTAAATTAAGAAAAAGCAGGTGGAACGGTGGGCAGAGAAGAAGATGGAAGATTTGCTTGCTCACTCTGTAAGATTTTGGAGTGAAGGGTGTGACCCCTGGCATCCCCAAAGGTGGCCGGATCTGCCCTGAGGCAGGATCCTTGCTGTGGACCCCAGGGTGGCTGGGGCAGGGACCGGGCCTGGCAGGGGACATGGGACCTGGGGTCTCATGCTCAAGTTTACAACCATCTCGGGGTGGGCTGTGGGGGAGATTGCTAAATCCTTCCATCCAGATTAGAGGTTTTGACCATCACCTGCACTTAGGTGAGGATTGTCACCCACAGGGCAAGGCAACCGCTGGGCTGGTTTCGAAGCCGCAGGCGGGAAGAAACGGCTGAGCACGGCTTGACCGCGTTCCATTTGCTGTCTTGTTATGAATCAGCCACCAAGGAAATAGATTCAAAACAAGCGAATGATGTTCCTTTCTCCTCAAAAAAGGGAAAACTGCAGTTTTTACAGCAAAAGTGCATGTCAGTTGTTCTTGGGTCCTGGCATCCCTCGACCGTCGGTGTTCATGGGGTCACTAGGAATGAGTCGTGGTGGGTTTTCTGTGAAACCAGTGTCTGCTCCCGGCCTACGAGGTGCATAAGCCCAGTGGGGGACGGAGTGCTTCCTGGTGCCACTGCCTGTCCCTTCACAGTGCTGGCCACCAGGGCCTCTGAGAGCCCATGAGCTGAGTGCCCTTCATGGGAGACCAGCCACCGACACGGCTCACAGAGGCAGGGGAGCAGGGTGCCGGCCTCGGCACTCCCCTAACAAGCACAGGCTCACAGCCATGGCTTCAGGTCTGTCACCGCTGCTATGGCAGAGATGGGACTGCACATGCGAGGCCACGCAGAAGGCTTCTAGAAACAGAATTAAGTGACCAGCTAGTTTGGGTACAAAACAAGAAGGCAGGCCACGCGTGTTTCGTAACAGCTTTCCTGCTACCTTTAGGACCCCTGCCCCACCCAGTGCGGAGTGCTCCGGGGCCAGAGCACTTCGAGATCTCGTTGTCCGACTCCCCAGGTCCCGACCCCATCTTACCCCAGGGGCATCACCTCACTTTGTCCGCGGCCACATGGTTCACAGTGGAGCGCAGCGCTTGCACAAACAGAAAGCAAGTCACTGAAAACGGACAATCATGAGGAAGGCCAGAGACGCTGGAAGGATGCCTTCACACCACACAGGCGGTGACCTGTGTCTGCCGTGGCTCAGCATCAGACACCCTTGCTGGACAGCAGTCACCTGCTGTTGGAGCCCGAGTACTTACCCTCGAAGGTCTTAGTTGTAGCCCCTGGCGTTCAGGGTCAGTTCCCGCCCCAACTGCCTTCGAGGCCTCAGCCCGCAGTGCTCGAAGTGCCCCTGCCTGACTGCTCACTATGCAGCCGGGCATGGAGTGAGCCCACCGACACGGCTCTGGAGCGTTGTCCTCCGCAGGACTGACCTGGCACCCTGTGACCGAGGCACTGCCCGGGGTCCATCGGGAGCCCAGGTGACGGCAGGGAGGGGCCGTGTTCTGCTGAGCGGCCCGTGCACCCCGTCCACCCTCCCCGATGGCCGGGGCTTTCTCAGCTGTGTCGGGTGCTCGAGCAGGTGGGTCCTGTGCGCCCCGTCCACCCTCCCCGATGACTGGGGCCTTCTCAGCTGTGTCGGGTGCTCGGGCAGGTGGGTCCCATGTGCCCCGTCCACCCTCCCCGATGACCGGGCCTTTCTCGGCTGTGTGTCAGGTGCTCGAGCAGGTGGACTTCAGGACAGAAGGCCCGAGGGCGAGCACCACCCACCATCAGTGCCGCGCTGCACTGCCCTGCGCCCCATCTGGGTCCTGCGTGTCGTCCTGTGAGCGCTGAGCAGCCCGCCACATGGCACGTGTGCTGTGTGACTGGCCGTGGGCACGAAGGCGTGCTGCAGGAGGTGGGTTTTCCTTCTAATGCCCAGCTATGTGGAGGGAGGAGAGGAGGTCTTTGTACATAGCTGTCACCAGCACACTCACGCAAACGCATTTTCAAAATTCTAAACTCCTTATTTCTGCCTCATACCTTCCTACTGACACGTTTTAACTGGGGCTTTCAGTGGGTGCCGCACAATCTACCTGCCTCGTGTCGCAGTGAACTGCCAAGCGAGGCCCAGTTTTTAATTGCAAGTATCTTTTTTTTTTTTTTGAGAGCTTTTTTCATAGGGCGCATGCACCCACCAGAGATCACCCCCTGGTGGGGATGGCCACGCCGCAATCCCTTCTCCTCCACTCTCCTCTCAGCATCTTGGGCACACACACACACACACACACCTGGCATGAGTTTAAGCCACTGGGTTCAGGATTTGAACTGCGGCTTACTACATGGGAATCCAGCAGCATAGCCATCACACCAACTGCTGGTCCCTAATCGCGAGTATCTTTTAAGTATAGAGGATTTTGTTGTTGTTGATGTTGTTTTGGGGGTTTTGTTTGTTTGTTTCTTTTAAGGTTTTTGTCATAGGGCATGTGTGCTCACCAGAGAGAGAGACAGAGAGAGAGAGAGTGAGAAGTGTGGCCATGCTGCCATTCCCTCTCCCCTTCTCCTCTTGGCATGCTCACCCTGTGCCCAACGTGATTTCCAAGCCGCCGTGCTTGGGGCTTGAACTGCAGAGCTGGCGATGTTCATTAACCAGCATACCACCTGCTGGTCAGAGCATTTTACAGCTTCAGTCACACCCTGGTGTCAAAAAGATCAATTCTGGCCCTGGGCGTGGAAGAACTCAGGGCTGTCCACACCTGGCAGGAGCACCCACCCCCAAGGCCGGACTCCACCGGACGGCGTCCATGCTCCGGACTGGCTAGTGCAGCTGCCTGCTGGCCCTGCCCTCGGGGCCACAGTAGGACCAGGCCTCTCTGCCCTTCCTGGTGGTCGGGGCTTGCCTGGGACCCACCCGCCCTGCACACGGCGACGTGCCTGACCCCGAGCCTCAGGCCACACTCTCATCGTGCTGTCTCCCCACTCAGCGGCCTTGGAAGGAAGTGCTGGAATCGGGGCCTCTGCAGTGAGGCTGCCGTGTGGAGTGAAGGCATGCGTGGGTCACTGCTTTTTGTTCCCGGCCGCCCATCAGTGGGGACAGGAAGCAGGGAAAGACCTATAGACAGGGCTGACCGCGCTCGGAGCCGCTGACCCAGTGGAGGGTGCTGGGCCTCAGCCCCTTCCCCGCAGAGTCCAGGCCAGGGCTGTCAGGGAAGGAGTGCTATCACGGGGTTGCCCTGCCAAGACCCTGGCGAGCTGTGAGGGGCCTGCGGTAAGAGCTCGGGCGGGCCTCTGCCAGCTGGCACTGGGCTCGGCCCTTGGTTCAGCCAGTGGCGGGGTGGCCTGGGGCTGTCTCACGGGGGCTGTGTCTGAGCTGCTCTGGAAGCACTCGAACCCTTAGCATGACCAGGGGCTGGGACTACCCTGCACACGGACGTGGCCGGGGGCCAGGACTACCCCGCATGCCAGCACACAGACGTGGCCGGGGGCCGGGACTACCCCGCATGCCAGCACACAGACGTGGCCGGGGGACGGGACTACCCCACAAGCCAGCACACACACGTGCGGGAGGGAGGGGCTGGCGGCCCCACATGGCCCCCATGAGCACCTCTGCCATCATCATTCCTGGACCCTCAGTGTCAGCATAAGGCATCTCTTCAGGTGGCTGGGGCCAGGCCAGAGCTGGAGCCACCTGGAGGGCAGTGCAGCGCTCGCTGGGCAGGAGGGAGAGGCCACCTGGCGCTTAGGGTTCGCGGGAGCTGGTGTCTGCGTCGGCGTGGCCGCCCTGCTCCCAAGGTGCAGCCTTGTCATGTCCCGTCTTGTCCCCGCAGATGGACCACGACCCCAGGAACCCTGCTTACATCGCCACCCAGGGGCCACTGCCCGCCACCGTGGCCGACTTCTGGCAGGTGAGTCTTCCCTGATTAAAACATTGTCTTCTGAGAAGGAAATCCTAAGAAACTGGTCACGAGCATACTGGAGACCGGCGAAGCCAGTCCACGCTGGTTTACGTTCGCGCGCTGCTTGACCTCAGAGTTCAGGAGTCCCGTGTTCTTGGGAAACCAGCAGTTAGCGTAATGGCTATGTCGCTGGACTCCCACGTAGTCAACCGCGGTTCGCGTCGCGGACCCGGTGGCTTAAAACTCACGCCGGGCGCGTGTGCGTGCGTGCCCAAGATCCTGAGAGGAGAATGGAGGAGAAGGGATTGCGGTGTAACCATCCTCCCTGGGAGGTGATTTTTCGCTTTCTGTCTCTCTGTCTCTCTCTGTCTGTCTGGCGAGCGCACGCGCCCTGTAATGAAAACCTCTCCAAAAAAATAAAAAAGGGGTCCTGTGTTCTTCATTTCGAATCTTTTTTTTCCCCAAAAGAATCGAGTATGAAAAATTCTGGTTGAGATTTAATACTTTAAAGTTCTTTGCTTTTTGGTCACTTTACAGTTTTGTGTTATAAAACACAAGAAGGGTCAGCGTATGTGCGTGCATGCCCAAGATCCCGAGAGGAGAATGGAGAAGAAGGGATTGCGGCGTGGCCATCCCCCCGGGGGGTGATTTCTCGCTTTCTGTCTCTCTGTCTCTCTCTGTCTGTCTGGCAAGCACACATGCCCTATAGCAAAAACCTCTCCAAAAAAAAAAAAAAATTTACACATGATTTCTTACAAATTTTGTACTAAATTAAAGTTGTATTTTAATTCCATTGTTCCACACACTTTTTGAAGTCCCCTTACATTTTAAAGGATTATTTACTTAATTTATGTATGTATGTATGTATGTATTTTAATTTGACAAAAAGGAGAGCAAGAGGGAAAGGAAGAAGCAAGTCACCAGGCCCAGGGTTCCAAACGTGGCTGGACATGTGGGAGTCCAGCACCTTGGCCACCATCCTCCTGCCAGTCCCGTCCCCTTGCATTATTTCATTTATTTACTTACGTTTAGGGAGATATTTTTCTATAGGACGCACACACTTCCTGGAAAGACAGAGAGACAGAAAGGGAGAAGTCAGCCCTCAGGAGGGATGGCCACGCCGCAATCCCTTCCCCGATCACCTCCCAGGGTTCGGGGCGTGCGTGCACATGCGCCTGCTGTGCGTTTTAAGCCACTGGATCTGGGACTCGAACTGTGGCCAACTACGTGGGAGTCAAAGACGTAACTATTAAGCCCCTCGCGGGTCCCCTCCCCTTACATTTTTAAAGGCCAGGCCCTCTCTTTTCCTTCTGCGCGGTCCTGGGCCCTCGGTAAGTCCTGGATTTCTGCCGACTTCCTGCAGCGCTGTACTCGGGAGGGAGGCCCGTGTCCTTCCCCTAGGTGCAGAGGCCGGGTGCTGACTACTAACCTGACACGCACCAATGGAGCAGAGCAGAGACGGTTCTTGCTGTCTCCTGTCAGCCGCTGCGGGACGGCACTCGTGGGACAGCCGGGAGTGGCCGCAGGCTGGGCATGGCTTGCCCCTCATGGCAGTGGCGATGACCCTCACCCAGCCTGGAACCCAGAATCTGCCCCAGGACTCGCCTGGAGGAATGTGGGTTGGGGACAAGATCAGAAAAAAGCACTGCTTAGAGGGGACGAGGCCAAGGGACATGTGTCGTCATGGCGGCCGGAGGTATGAGCAGCTGTCCGCTTGCAGGCTGGGCAAGGTAGGGTCTCTGGAGGCGATGCCATTTCATACTCCAGGGAAGCAGCTGGGCAGGGCGCACTTACCCCCACACCCCGGCCCTCAGCCTCATCCCCCAGCTTGCAGGTACCTGATCCTGACTCCCTCACCTCGTGTATGCATTCCTCTCCCACCCTCTGACGAGTGTCCGCAGGGCTTTTCAGAAAGGGTCGGGTAGGAGCCATGGTCCCATTTCACAGGTCGGGCCCGTGAGTGCTGGAGAGGTTTGCAAGGTGGGCCAGGACTGGAGGCCTGTCCATGTGGCCTCCTACCCTTCTGATTCCGTGTCTTCACACTGGGAGTCATGGCCAGACTGAGTCTACAGTTCTCTGCTGGAGCCCGGCACCATGGAGCCAGGTACCACAGAGCCCAGCACCACGGAGCCAGGTACCATGGAGCCAGGTACTATGGAGCCCCACACCACGGAGCCAGGTACCATGGAGCCAGGTACTATGGAGCCAGGTACTATTGAAGCCCCATACCTCAGAGCCTGACACCACGGAGCCAGGTACCACAGGGCCCAGCACCACGGAGCCAGGTACCACAGGGCCCTATACCACAGCACAGACCATCCGCCTTTGGCATCAGAGTGCCACGAGGACACACCAGGATGCTCCAGTGTGCCCGCATGACAGCCCGGCATTGCCCAGCCAAGTAAGAGCTCCTTCGGTGACGGGGACCTTATAGCCGAGGGCCATGCCCTGTGGGAGGAGTGGCCTCCCCTACTGAAGCCTGAACATGTCAGTCCCGGCTCTGCTCTGAGAGTTGAAGCAACGTCCTGCCGGGGCCCATTTTCTCCACAGGAAGACAGAGGGGCCTGAGCTGCGTGGTGGGCCCAGGAGACCCAGAGTCACGACCGCACTCGGGGTGTCCAGCCGCCCTGAGCCGTGGTCTGAGACTGCATCAAGAAGGTAGCTGGTGGTCAGCCCCGAGGTCCCTCTGCTTCCCGGACGTCAGCCCCGAGGTCCCTCTGTTTCCCGGACGTCAGCCCCGAGGTCCCTCTGCTTCCCGGACGTCAGCCCCGAGGTCCCTCTGCTTCCCGGGCGTCAGCCCCACCTCCAGCCTTCGCCTCACCTGTGCGGCCTTCCCATGACAAAATCACGACCCTCGAGGGCAGGGGATACCTAGCAGTGGTCGCTCGCATCCTTGGGGTCTCATAGTCCCCGGGTCACCCCGGGTCACCGATGAGTGAGCAGGGCCACAGCACTTGTCCCCACAGACTGGGGGGCTCGGGCTCGTGTCCCTCAGCTTTCAGGACATGGACATCTGGTCGTGGCTGTCAAGGCGCGTGTGCTCCCCAGTGGGGTTGGCATCCCAGCGGAGACGCCTGGAGGACAGTTGGACGTGAGACGACAAACGCCATTGTGTGTGTCACCGGCTCCGGGAAACGAGTGGTCCCGAAATGGTAACAGCACCAAGACAAAAGGGGCCCCTGTCGCCCACCTCCCTGGGCTCCTTGGTAGCCCCACGGCGAGGCCTGAGAAGTACTGTGTGGAGAGCGCGTGTGGCCTGGTCTCACCCAGTCCCTCCGGCCACTACAGCTGCTCACATCTCAGCTTTCCGTGGACACCCCTTTCTGCAGGACAGTCGGAGACGGCCACATGGTGCCGCAGAACCACAGGACAGCCGTGGAGGGGGCCGTCCTGCAGACCACATCCTAATCGGGCCCGTCGGACACAGCTCTTCCTAGTGGCCGCCACAGGCCCAGGACCGAGGCTCTGACACATCTCTGCTGCCTCTGCTAGCCCCGTGCTTACGGGGGACCACGGCTGCCCAGAACGTCCCCCGGAGGGCAGGAATTCTGAAACCCATGGAAAAGGGTGTGGTTTTTAAGGATAAAACGCGATTGGAGACATGGAAGCAGCAGAGACTGAGAGTTGCCCTCCCCGTCTGGGCTCATGGCCTCTCAGGCTCTGGCCGAGGAGCCCAGGGCTCAGGGGATGCGGACGCAGCTCCTGTCACGCGCAGCTCGTCACACTCTTCTGAGCTCCTCCGTGGGACGGTTCTAGGCGTCTGTCAGTGGGGCCACATTCCGTGTGAAAGGAGTGTGAGCAGGGCCCAGCCAGGAAGGCCGGTGTGCAGGGCTACCCTCCTTCTGGTGGTAGCTGTGATGGGGCCACGGCAGCAGCCACGGCAGCAGGAGCTTATTCTGTTGGTCCAGGAGGCGGTGCAGAGTCTGTCCCTCACAGACTCGAGGAAGAACCTCCCAGCCTCGCTCCAGGCTCTGCTTGCGCTGTGGGGTCTTCGTCTTGGCCGACAGGGACTCGGGTGTCGCCTCCAGCCCCACCATGCCCGTCTGTCCACACGTCCCTCCTCTTAGGAACACGGTCATGATGTGGCATGCGTCCTCGCTGACGCGCCCCCTCTCGGCAACGTTCCAAATAAGGCCATATTCCCAGGTTCCGGGTGGTGTGGCTGGGGAGGCCCTGCGAGCCCCAAGGTCTTCAGCCAGGAGGGGCCGGGGTGACTCCGTGGGGCTGCCCCGGGTGCACTGTCCTGGGCGTGCTGGTCAGCCGGAATCGTGGGCACTACGAGCCCCCGGGCACCCCCCAAGCTTTTTTTTTCAGGAATCGTGGGCACTACGAGCTCCAGGGCACCCGCCAGGCCCCCGGTTCTGTGGGGACCCCAGTTGCCCCCACTGCTGGCTGAAAGCACAGACCGGGTGTGTGGGCTCACGATGCAGGCTTCTGCGGTGCGCCTCCGTCATGTCATGACGGGTCCCCGTCGTGTCAGCGCACCTTTTAAGGGAAGTCCCAGAGAGCCTGGCATCCTCTGGCATGGGCAGAGGGGACCATGTGTGTGGGAGGGAGGGGACGGCCATGCTGCAGTGTGCTGTCACCCCTCATCCCCACGGCCCACAGTGGGCAGAGGGGACCATGTGGGGGGGACAGCCATGCTGCGGTGCAATGTCACCCCTCATCCCTGCAGCCCACGGTGGGCAGAGGGGACCATGTGGTGGGGGACGGCCATGCCGCGGTGCAATGTCACCCCTCAGCCCTGCAGCCCACGGTGGGCAGAGGGGACCATGTGGTGGGGGACGGCCACGCCGCAGTGTGCTGTCACCCCTCATCCCCGCGGCCCACGGTACGCCAGCCTCCTTTGACCTTGCCCCAGAGAGCTCCGTAATCAAAGACTTCACCTGCTCCGGCTGCTCTGAGACAAGGCCCTGTGTGAAGGGGGTGTGGTCCGAGCGAGCAAGCAGGGCGGCAGGAACAGGCGCCCGGAAGCCCAGCGGTGACGCTCATGAGCCTCGGGGTCCCAAGGTTCTGGGGTCCGTGGGGTGGTCAGGTCATTGGGGTGGACAGCAGGGGCAGGACCAGGGGTGGGACTCCTGGGTAATGGGGGCAGAAGGGGGTCGGAAGGTTCCGGAGGTGGGCAGTGGGGACGGCTGTGTGGTGGTGCCAATGCCCATCCCACCGCAGGGCTGTGGGCAGGCTGGAAGCCAAGCATCTGGGGTGGCTCCGCCCACTCACGGAGGCCTGCAAGTGGCAGCTGGTTCTCCAGGGGAAGCTGAGGGCAGGGAGCCCGAGGGACCCGCCAGGCCCACAGAGCGTTGGAAGCCACGTCGGAGCAGCATGTGTAGCCGAGGGCTTTTCCTGCACTGCCCCCCAGGAAACGAGGCCAGGGCAGGACGGTGCTGGGAGTGGGCGGAGCTCTCTGTCCCAGGGCACATTGCTCCCCACGAGGATGCCACTGTCACCACCGTGTGCCCAGGGCGCAGGGCCCCTGGCCCTCTGTGTGGGAGGCTGACCCAGTTACAGTAGGGAAGGGCTCTCCCCGGGAGCCATGCCAGCTGCTACAGAGGGGGCGCTCTCTAGGACGTGGCAGGGCCGACCGTGGAGCGATCTGGTGCACCCCATCCTCCTTACGGCGTCACAGACACCCACAACCTCCCCCAGCTGTCCTTGCTCGGCCTCAGCCTGCCCCAAGTGCCCACATCGCTCAGGAGCCAGCTCTTCGCGGCCGTCCTGTCAACTCTGGCTGGCAGAAGTATGTGCTTTTCAGCCAGTGGCAGCTCCTCTGTGTCCTCGAGCTCTTGGGCGGGCACTTCTAAAGAGGGATTGAGGCCCTAGCATCTGCCGGGGTCAGTTTCACCGTGACTGTCTGCGGGTGTGCACGCAAGTTGGGGTATGTGGCACAGACAGGGCGCCCTGGCCCCCAGGGAGAAGCCGAACCATGCCCTCTGGGCTGGCTGAGCCCAGGAAGGTCCTTGCCCCTGTGGACACAGGCCAGGTCCCCAGCTGTACCCTGCCTGCACTGCTGGAGCTCAGTGGTCTCAGATTTAACTCCGCTGACTGAGGCTTTTAGTAATCTTCTGTCTTTCTTCCCAAATCCAGGCTGCATTTTTTGGTATGTTCCGAAGTCAGGCTGGTCGCAGCGGCCGAGGGCAGCCCTGGTGAGCGCCATGTCCCTCCCAGGTTTCTGTGCACGGACTCTGAGACCCCTCGCGGAGGCCAGCATCCCGGGGCAGCTCGGCGGGCTGGTGGCCAGTTGCGCTCCTGTTGTTTGGAGTGAATCCCCTTCTCAGCTTTTACACACAGTGACCTAGAAGGAAATGTCACTCCCTAGAGCGCCTTTGGGATTGTTTGTTTAAATTAAGTTTCGTTTGGATTTAATCCTAACCTCAGAGAGCCGGGCAGGCTCCGGCGATGAAGTGCCGTGTGGAGGCCGATGAGAGAGGCTGCTGCCGTGGACGGCCTGCTCCCAACAAGGGCTAATGCCACACGCGGGCGGGACGGCAGAGCGCGGGGGGGGTAGGGTGTGGGCTAGC